CCAGGTCCCCCTCTGCTGGGCAGCTCTCCATCCACTCTGTCCCCAGCCTGTAGTGCTGCAGGGGGTTGCTGTGACCAAAGTGTAGGACCAGCACTTGGCCTTGTTGACTCTTACATTGTAGGTCTCTGCCCATCAATCCATCCTGTCCAGATCCCTCTGCAGGGCCTTCCTACCCTCCAGCAGATCCACACTCCCACCCAGCTGGGGGTTGTCCATGAATTTAATAAGGGTGGACTCATCCAGATCATCAGTAAAGTCACTGAACAGGACTGGGTCCCAGACTGATCCCTGGGGGACACCACTAGTGAAAGGGATTGAACAGATTATTCATTTGATGTGAGAATGGTGTATCCAATTTTCCTTACCAAAAACTTTAACAGCAAAATAGGAACACAGTAAAACAGCACATGGCCCTTCCCATCTAGGTTCTAATTCAGTTTTCTACAGAATATCTTACCTAAAACTCCATCTCCAGACTGTATACCTTGTACCTGTATTTCAGGGGGCATTGGTTGATACCATTGAGCATAATTTGCTCTGTGAACTCTTTCTGTGTGTATATAAAACATTGGGTCAACATCTATTCAGTGAGCTGGTTGTAGCTGGGATATAAGATCCTGGTACAGGTAAGTGCCTTCCAAAGAGAATTTCTGCTGGTGTCAGCCCTGTGTGTTGTCACGGAGTATTCTGGACACCCCACAGAGCCAAATTTTGGCTTCTGGCCATTTCAGATCAGTGTATGTGCATATTTTCACTGTCTTTCAACATGCTATTAAATCTCTCTACCTGTCCTGAAGACTGTGGGTGATCTATGTGTGTCATTTCCTCTCTATCCCCAAAGACTTGTAGAGCTGATGGGTTACACTTGCTGTAAAATGAGCACCTCTCTCTGTCTCAGTCAGCTCTGGAACCCCACATCAGGTGTAACCTCCTTCAGCCAGGTCTTTCCTGCTCCTCCTGTGTCTGCCCTTCCTTCTGCCCAGCCTGGCAGCTGATCTACTCTCACCAGCAGATGCTTGTCCCCAGCCAGAGGTGACATGTCTGCAGTCTCTGTGCTGCTGCTGGAAAGGGCAGCAGGCCTGTGGTTGCCTTCCTAACTCTGAGTTACTGTTACTTAAGAGCTTTGGGTGAGTTGGGCAGCTGTTAGTAATTCATTTTGCAGTGGTGTAAATTCCTGGAGCTGCCCACGCTTTCTGTGCTTGGCTGGGCTATTGCCTCGTCCCTCCGTGGGCTTTATCCCAAAACCCTCTCACCATAGTGACTAAATATTTCTCTGGAAGAATCAGTTTTTCCCCAGCTGACCATATTCCATCACCATTTTGAGTTGCCTCCCACTTTCACCCTTGTCTCTTTTTTTTTGTCAAGACATCCTGCTCGTAAATAGTTTGAGAGCCTGTCAAATCTGGCCTTTCACACTGGGCAACCATCAGAGCCACAGAGGCACATAATGCCAGAGGCTGATGGTGATGCCACTCTGGGGATCCCACTGGCACCACCCCAGACTGTCACTGCTGGCACTGAAATCCCTTCACAGCAGCAGCTCCAGTGACACAACAGGGGTCCCCCGTGACCCCCCCACACCCTGGGCACACCCTGCAGCTCCCACTGCAGCCACACACTGAGCCACCTGCACTGAGAGTAGTCCTCAACAGGCAGCAGGGGTCCTGAAAGCCCCAAATATTTTCCTAACTCTGCTGGAGAGCTGTCAAGACTATGCCATCTGCTTTTCTTTTTAATAGAACTTGTTATTTTTAATAAATAAACTGGGTTTTTTTAATAAAAACTTGCTCAAAATGGTCACCTAAGGTGCTGCAGTTTGTCCTGGGAGCCTCAGCCCCTGCAGTGTCCCGGGATGCAGCTGCCTGCCTGGGATACTTGAGCCAGGATTTTCTCTTCCCGCCCTTTCACTGAGATCTCAGTGGTGTCCATGAGTACCCTCAGGGAGCCACCCCAGAACACTGTGCTTGGGAGGTGTCCCTGGTAAAGGTGAGGGTGCAGAGTCCTGCCAGATACATCCACGGGAAGCTCAATTTGTGCTCGGTCCTCCTGAGCTGTACTGGAAGAGTTGAAGCTGCTGGGAGGACTGGGAGAGTCCTGGCACCCCAGTGTCTGCCAGGCACCCCGAGGCTTTGGAGCCAGGCCAGCTTTGAAAATGTGACCCTTGCTGATGCTGGTGAGGCTGAGTGCTGGGATGGAAGTGCCTGGAGAGTGGTGGTGGGTGAAGAACTCATCTCCTGCTCTCAGTTTGCTGTACCATGGCTGTGTGGCAGGTTTCAGATCCCGGTGGGGCTTTGCCAATTTGCTTTTTTTGTTTACTTGAGGTGCACTGCCACTGCAGGGGGCTCATGGTGATGCCTCTGGCTTACCCACCCCAACACCTCAGTGCCACTGGTGCAGGGGTTCAACCCGTCCACCAAGCTGGTGCAGCTCTGAGTACACACAAACACCTTCCCTTTTTGCCAAAGAGAGATTTGGATTCCACTGTTAAATAAAAAAGGGCTCAAGGCCCCACTGTCGTGTCTCCCAGCAGTTGTTCCTGCTGTTCAGAGGGACCTCTGTGCAGCAGGTCAGGGTTGTCCTCACTTTCTGGGGACACAAACACAGCTGGGCTGTGACACTGGTACCTGATGTGCAACACTGCCCCGATCCACCAACGCCCTGCGAGAATCCCGGGTCACTTTGCTTCTGCTGAGGCACAGGCCAGCCCCGAGCCAACCCCTGGAGTACAGCCCAGGCTGTCCCGCAGTGCTGCTGGTCCCCAAAGCCCCATCCCACCGATTCCAGAGCCCGCAGCCTTCGGCTTTATCCCCTCCCCACCTCGGGCATGGCCCCTCCACGCTGACAGAGCGAGCAGCGTTCCCTCTGCCCGCTGTCGCCGGGGTTTTGCTGGGGTGGTCTCGAAGCGCCGGGTGGCCCATCCCAGGAGCTGCTGGTGCAGCAGGGCCCGGCCAGAGCAGGAGGCAGGGCCGGTTTTGGGGAGCAGCAGCTCTCGGTACCGGCAGTGCCGGCTCTCCCGCTGTCGCTGGAGGGAGCCCCGCGGCACTTCCCGATGCTGCCACGAGCTGCACTCGAGCGGTTGTTGGAAATGAAAGAGCTGGAGAATTCCAGAGGGGTTTCAGATGAAAATATAGAGCCGTAACTGGCTGCTTCTTGAAAGGGCCCCGGAATGCCACACAATCCAGGCCTGGGGCAGCACTGACACTCATGGGATGTGGAGGCTTTGCAGCAGAACAGGCAAGACAGACATGCAGGAAAGCAGCAGCTGTGATCCCTGGGATAGGCAAGATTTGGGCATTTACCAAACCCTGGTGGCCTCTGGTACCTGCTGCACCGGCCACCGGCACCTCCTGTAGATCAAATGCACCACGAGGAAGCAAATCCCAGACTGCCAGAAAAACCTGGCAATGAGTAAATGCAGGAGAGCTCCTTCACCAGCTATTTGATGCATAAAAAACCACCTCAGTCTCATCACTTCAGCATCCAGGCTAAAATACGCTCCAGTATCTGCTGGGGCACTCAGGGACTAAGCAAGTTTTGAATTAAGCAAATGGAATATTAAAAATGTATTTGTGAATGCAGGAGTGAGCAGACAGACAGCACAGAGCTGGGTATAATGGGCTGCTTGCACAGTTGTGCTTGGGGCTATCATTAACCCTGGGATTTCCCCCAGGGAAGCAGGACAGACACAGGAGCTGGGGCCACATTTAGGTACATCAGATATTTATGGAGCTGCTCTGGGGACTAGAGCAGCCTCAACTCTTCTTCCTGCAATGAGCAATTTTTGTCTCCTTTCCTTGGTTTTCTCCAGCTCCAGTATACGGGAGCAGGAAAAAATATCTATTCGGCATTGTGAGCACTGCTGGAATTCACCCCCATCATCTTCAAGGCTGCTGCACCATCCCCGGTTCATTTCATTCCTACATCTGAAATCAGCCCCCAGAAGACACAATAAAGGCTTTTGGAGATGAGTACACACACGTGTGGTATGAACAGGTAAAAGGCTGCTGCTTAGCGGGGCTTGTCCTGATCAAATCTGACTTCATTGGGCCTGGATCATCCAGACCTCAGCCTCTACTCATTTTCAAAGACTTGTCACAGGCTTTTCCAGCCACCTAGGAAGAATATCCCTCTGGTGCAAAGGTCTGCCATGAGGGAACAAGGAAATCCAGCTCATCATCAGTTATAAAGCTGCTGCTGCAAGGCCTGATTTCCAGAAAGAAAAGAAAGTTAGAAGTCCTTAAACTTCAAACAGACTGAAAACTGCTGCTGGGCACTATAGCAGGGATTTACCTCAGAGCTCCATAAGGCTGCAGCTGAAAATGAAGGCCAGAAGGGAGCAGAGTGCCTCAGTCACACTGCCAATAAGGAAAGTTCCTGAAAGCAGAGCCCTCACAATGCTCCCACACCCCTGCCACAGGTAAGCTACGAGGCAAATAATCCAGGCAGGACAGTTACAGGCTTGTTTTTATTAAAAGACATCTTCAGAAAAGATATTTTAGTACAAAAAAAAGTTTAAAATACACAAACTACACTTGCTTTTCTTTTCAGCATCAACATTTATAAATTACACCACATTGTTATTAACACTGCATTTAAATATGGAAACAAATTAAAACAAGGAATTCATCAACAGGATCCAACATCCTACGTACAACTCTGTACAGTATTTAGCAGCTAGGAGCTCTAGCACAGTAGTCAATATGACTTCAATAGGGCAGGATGCTTGGGAAGCCCCAAGACTGCAGCTTGGCCCGTAACAGTTTTTGGGGACCTGTTTTGGCCACCTCTCCCCACACACCCACCCCAAAAAGCAGAGGTGATGCCGCACATCAGGGTACTCACCTGATGAGCTGGGGCTTTTGCAGAGGAATGCTGCTGTCCCCTGACCTTTCAGTGCTGGGACACACACGTGGGACAGCGCCAGTCCCTCTGCAAAGCACGAGGTGTGTGGTGGGAGGAGGCAGCCCCCAGGTTCAGGGGGCTGACAGTGACAGTGCCCTGCCCAGGGACAGTCACTGCTCCGTACCTGTGCCCTCCCACTGCTCACCCTACCCCTCCCCAGCAGCACTGGCAGGCTCCAAACACGGCCCCTCAGGACCTGGCCCCCTCACACAAGCAGCTGCAGGATCCCACCCATCATCCTTGGAGCTGGAAGCGGTTTTCCCAGCTCCTGGCAAATTCCAGCACGGCCAGAAACACGGGGTCTTCAGAGGGAAGGCAAATGAGCCCGAGGTCTCCTTCTGCAGAGGTGACCCTCAGACCCCCCACCACACCCTGCAGAGCTCAGCAGGGCAGGGGATGCACAGAGGGAGCTGCCCAAGGCTCACCAGCCCTGGCAGGTGCCAGAGGCTCCAGGGCTCTCACAGGAGGGAACGCGGGACACCATTTGGGAGCGAGAGGGAAGGATGGGACACAGCGAGGCTCCGCACCCAGCGCTGGGGTCCAGGGCAGTGAGACACTCCGTGTGCTCCCCTTGCCCTCGCCACAGGGCATCGAAAAAGTACAGAAATGTTAAGACAGGACAAAAAAAAAAAGCACCAGACAAACTTGAACTCGCGGCAGCAGCACGTGGCAGGTCGGAAGACCCTTGTGCATGCTCTGGAGGTTGATCTCCCTGCTGGTGGCTCCTCTTCAGGTTTGGGAGTTCCCATCCAGGGGTTTTGGCAACATGGAGCTGTTTTTTACCTACAGCGAGGAGCTGTGTCGTGCTACTCAAGGACTGCTCACCCAGGGAGATCTCGGGGGATTTTCCAGGGAAAGGGGTTGTTTTCTGTAAACACCACGTGATGGAGCTCAGGTCCACGCTCCACAAAGAAGGTCAAGTCTCAAGTGGCAGCGTTAGGGCTCTGCTTCCAGTGCTGCAGGCTGGATCTTCATGACAGTTGACTTCAGTGGGTAGTACCTGCCCTTCCATGTCTTCCAGAAGATGCCCTGCTTGCGCTCGTGCCTCTGGCGGGGGATGGAGCGGAAATACTTCCCATTGAGGTTGGCATGGCCACAGGTGCTGAACCACCAGCCACCTACCAAGACAACACAGGCAACTTCAACCCACAGCAGTTCCAGACAGAAAACAAACCCAGGCAGCTCTTGCCCCCAATTCCCCCATGTTTGCAGGGCTTCAGGACCTTACAAGACCACCTCATGCACAGTTGAGGCATCTCCTGCACTGGGAAACCTTTTACAGATCCTGTATGACTTCAGCATGCATCTGCAAATTCCTGCTCCTCCCTCTTGTGTGCAAAACCCTCTCAAACCCTTCACTGGCCCTATCTCAGGTGGGAAGTCTCTGCTCTGCTTTGAAAGGGTTCCAAGCAAGGTGACAGCCAGCAAAGCTGTTGCAAGGACAGATGACTCGGCCAAGACCTGAATAATGAACCCCTTCCTCCCCACTGTCAGCTCCTCCCAAGGATGCAGCTGTCCCAGGGAAGCTGGAGACGACACAGGCTCAACACCAGAGGGGTCCAGTGCCACAGGGCCCCTGTCCCACTCAGCCACCACCAGACAGTGGAGGGCTGACAGGGAAGTGCACACCACTGGAATAGAAGAGCTTGTACTGACCTGAGAGGTGTTTGGCACAGTTTGTGTCAGCTTTGAGGTCGTGGTCACGGTCCCGAGTGGAGAAGGGCAGCTGCCTGAAGTCCCCGATGGCATTTTCCAGCTCTCCAGACAGAGGCCCCAGCAGGTTGAGCATGTAGGCTGTGCTCTCCCCACCAAGGCTGAAGACAAACTGAACCGCCTGCGAATTACCCTCCCAGTCTTCCAGCTCAATCAGGAGGTTGTATTTTCCCTCTTGGACAAGGTGATGTATCTTCTCCAGGCCCAGCCAGAAGTCACCTGGAATAAGACCCATGGCATTGGCTGCAGGAACACAAACGTGCTGTGCTAGCAGGCATGTGAGCAGGCTCCAGACAGGGACAACCCAGGACACTGCAGTGTTTGAATCACTGCCTGGCACCTGCAGGACACAGCAGGAAGATCAAGGACCTCCACTCTGCAAGCAGTGTCCCCCATCTCCAGCACAGAGAGCCCCAGGGGCCAGCAAGGGGAATAACTTTTGCTGAGCTGTCCCTTACGGTGCAATGAGAAGATGGACACCATCATCCACCTACCATGGAGGTCTCCAAAGCCATTCTTGTAGGCATCCCACAGCTGGTCGAAGTCCACGGAGCCATCCGTGCGCCTCTGGATCACTGTCCAGCCACCCTCTGTGGGCAGGGAACACACAGTCATTCAGGGTTACCCCTTCAAGAGGGCCCTGCCAAGCACAGCGGGGCACCCACCCAGCCTTACCTGCGGTCATGTCACAGTAGACCTTGAAGGGCTGGGATCCCACGGGCTGCACCTGGAAAACCCCGCTGCTTTGCTGCCCGGCCAGGAAGAGCTGGTGGCAACCCTCGGGGAGCTCTACAGGGGAAGGAAACAGCAACTGATTAGATGGCCCCAAGCCCCACTGCCTCAGCAGGTCGTTCCTACCACGGCCCTGGCACTCACAGCCCTGGCCACGAGCCCGGCCAGCCAGTTCTGGACACGCGCTGGGGACGATGGCCCCCGACTGCAGCATCTTTAAACACTGTGACTCCACACATCTTCCCCTTTATCCAAACAGAGTTCCTTGGGCTTCCATCCAAGGCAGAAGCCAGGCACTGGGCCAGGCTGGGGTCACCTTGGCTGGAGAGCAGGGCTCCCAGCGAGGAGGGACCGGGATGCTTCCCAGTTCCCCTGCAGGAGCAGCCCAGCCGGGCCAGGGTAACGCCAGGGCCAAGCATCCCCATCCCACCCCCATCCCACCCCATGGCTCAAGGAGGCTCAAGGGGCCTCAGGGGCAGAAAGAAACATCAAGTCCTGATATCAGGAAGGCACCTGAGCATCTCCAGCACACAACCTCCTCCTCCCAGTGACCGTGGTGGCCCCAGCCAGACACCCCACTGGGCAAGCTGCCAGCAGCGGGCACAGCGCCAGGCTGGAGTGACCCTTTTTCCGAGACACGCTGACCAGGGCAGGGAAGGGGTGGGTGGACTCTGGGAGCACCAGCTCATTGCCTGAGTGGATTGCCCAGGGTGAAGCCACCCCCCAGCTTGTCCCCTCTGTCCCCAGGCCGGCTGGGCCCCCACCACTCCTTCTGCCCCGTGGGGACTTTGCCCAGAGCTGCCAGCAAAGCACCATTTCAACAGCACTGATAAAAGTCCATCCAGAACCACCACCCGCAGCACTTGGGAGAGACGGGGAGCAGGGAACCTGTTACAACACCAGAGTCAAAAGGCCACAGAAGGATGTGCAGAAACTTCAGCCCCAGGCTGCTGAGCAGTCAAGGGGCTCTTTGTCAGCAGGGACAGGTGCCCCCCTCACCCCCAGACAAAGGGGGCCTGTTCTCCCTGCACCAGGGTGGGTGGGTTGTGGTGGCTCACAGCTGCTGCCAGCATGACCCCAAGACAGAGTGAAGAAACCTCAAGACAAGCCCTGGGCTGTGCTGGAGTGCTGGCCACTGCCACAGCCCCCTCATGGGAGTCCCCTCATGGGTCAGGGCTGACACCACGATCCAGAGCAGCAGCAAGGAGAGGGGCCTCCCCCAGCAGCCAGGGGCTTCCCTGGGGCCAGATGGAGGGGAGAAAATGGGGCCTTTGAGCTGCCAAGAGCAAAAACAGCCCATGCAGGGCATCACTCCCTGCCTCATCTTCTCTGGATACTGGGGAGGCCCAACACTGCTTTGGGGCAAAGAGCAGAACCTCAGCTGGAGAGAAGGTCAGGGGGGACCCAAGGGACAGAAATGTGACACCTGCCACCACCTTTCACCCATTTCCAACATATCCCTCTCCTGACCCTTCTCTCCCACCCTGAACATTGCCCTCCTTGGAGGGGCAGCCCCTCTCCCACAGCCAGCACAGATGGCTGGTGGTCACATCCCTCACACCCCTGGGGTCAATGCCACCATAGGGCTGGTGCCACCATCAGTGCACCACAGGACAAGTGTGTGGCCCCAGCCCTACCCTGAGCCCACAGGCACAGGGATTGGGGGTGTTTTGCAGGAAGGATCAAAACCACACAGAGCCCCCAGCACTGCCAGGGCCGAGTGCATCCCCAATATCCCCCTTTTCTGGGTGGATGCAAGCAGGGAAGCAAACAAGGCTCAGGGGAAGGAACCCCCAGCCAGAAGCCCCTGCTCACATGGGTATCAGCAGGGAGGTGCAGGAGGGTGCTGGGCTCACCCAGCTCCTCGCCTTCTCTCCCACTGCATCTTTCAGCGTCGATGGGAAGGTGCCAGGCAGATGATTAGTGGTCTCAATGTGCAGAAGCCAAACCCATTCCTGCCTGTTTCTCATTTCTGGGCCCTGGCTGCACTCAATCCCTGCTCTCCTGATGCCACAGGGACTCTCCAGCAGCTGAACGAGATGCAGCTGCTCAAACAGCCTCTGCTCAGTCTTTTTGTTTGAGGAACACGCTCGTTAGTTCCAGTTCATGTTGCACATCCGAACGGCACCAGCAGAACAACAAGCCCTCCTGGCTGCTCCTGTGTTTTCCTTTCCCTCCCCCTTTATTTAGCCGAGCAACACAACAAGGTTGGAGCTGCCCCAGGCTCTGTGTTCACCCAACAGGATTTGCAGCTGTGACAAGGGTGGAGGGGGAGGTCACTAACCTGGGATAAACATCCATCCTCAGGGATGGCAAAGCATGCCTGGAGCTGTCTGCATCGCCTCCCCCTCTCCCTCCCCAACCCCACCCCATTATTTTGGAGTCTCAGCACCACGGGGAGAGCACGAGCAGGGCTCTACCTTTCCCCTACTCGGCCGGCTGCCAGCAAGCACAGCTCTGCCCAAAGACGTGATCCTCTTTCTGCAAGCGATTAAACCTCTCACTCTCCAGGCAGCTTTGAGCCTTCAACTTTCACATGCTTGGCCCCGCGCCAGCCCTGCCCTGAAAAAACTTGTGTTGGCTGGATGCAAATAAAAGGGTCTTTCTGCAAGGGCTGCTGGTGGAGTTCATCGCCGCTCCCCAGGGCACCGGGCTCTGCTGGCAAAAGCCCGGGAGCTGCCGGCACAAGCCTCCCCAGCACCCTCCCTCCCCAGCACCCTCCCCCTCTGGGAGCAGCCAAAAGCCCCCCAGGCAGAGGGCACGGGCCGGCCTGTGTGCTTTAAGATTTGCCAGAAAACTCAGTTGACTTGCCAATGAAAGGAAGCTGATTTGTTTTCTGTGAGTGATACCAACAACAGGGATTAGGCAAGAGAAGGGGAAGCTCACAGCTTGGCGGGAGGGAGTTGGGATGCCCAGGGTGCTGGGGATGCTCAGGGAGATGGGATGCCCAGGGGGCTGGGGACGCTCAGGGGGCTGGGGACGCCCAGGGTCTCTTTATCAGGGACAGCTCAGCACTGGAAGGTGCTGAGTACTCACAGCATCCCTGGGAACTGTGGGCTCTTGCTGCCTCCCACCATGCATCACAAACATTTCTGTAGCCAGCACAGCCTACATCTGCCACCAGTAAGTAGCAAAGACCTCAACCCATCTCCCTGCACCCTGCTTTCAGCATAGCCTGAGAGTGGAGCTGGAGGTTGGACTAGATGACCCCTGAAGGTCCCTTGCCACCCAAACAATTCTATGACACAACCTACAGGCAAGTAACAAAGCAGAGCCGGGTAAAAGACAGAGGAGAGGAGTTCTGAGAGTTTTCTGCTCGGTACTGCTGCTCTGACCAAGGGAGACCCTGCACAGCCCCACTGAGCTGAGCACCAGGAGTTCAGAGCACACCACATCCCACCTTTTCTCTAGTCTGCATGGATTCTGCAGCCCTTTGTTCTTCCCACCCAGCCTTCAGGCACAACGGTGACAGCTCTGAGGTCCACAGACAAATTACCATGTGTTTTCCCATCCTATCCCTGCTCCAGGCCCTGGCCAGGAATTCCCCGTGACTCCTCACCCTGCCTGGTTTGTTTTGCTCCTGCTGAACATCCCCAGACAGCTGCACAGGCAGAGCCAGCACCGTGATTCAGCTGACACAACATGACAGCAGCTGCTCCCGGCCAGCAGACCCTGTGGGGACACCAGTTCCTGTCTGGAGGGAGGCTGCAGGACACTCTGCAGCTGGGACACCCACTCTGCTGCCCTTTGCTCTGCAGGAGCCCCTCCAGCCCTGGCACCAGCAGAGAGGATGCTCCAGACAGAGCCAGGAGCTGCAGGTGCAGCATCCACTCGCCTGTTCCAGTACACATTTCCTGTGCTGGGAGCACCCACTGCAGCTCAGCACCTTCTGCTGGGCACAGTGCAAGCTGGGGCACTTGTCTTTTGTGTACAAGCCCTAAATATGAGCCAAGGGAGAGGGACACACAAGTATACAGCATTCCTCTCCACCCAGGGCTCCCTAACCCTCCTCTCCTCCCACGGAGAGAGCAGCAGATCCTGCCTGGGTGAAGTGTGAGCAGGTGAACAAGAGTTAACTCCTGAAACTCTCCTCTCCTGCCTCATTCACCCCCCACCTGCCAATCCTCTTTGACAAATACCTGCTCACAGGCTCTGCCTGCTCCCCACTGCATTCCTGCACAGGGCAGGAAAAAAACCTCTTATATCCTTAAATTCCTGCTGGACTAACACTGGCCCAGAGTGCAAGGATTCTGCCTGTGCTCCAAAACCCCACACACTGGCCATATTCCCAATCTCCAGTTTTTTAAGCAAATCTCACATCCTGGCTCAGGACAAGTGAAACTTTTGTTTCCAAACGGTTGTAAATGCTGCAGGATTGCTTTGGGGCAGATGAGCAGGGTGGTACGGGCAGATACTCACTCTGCCTTGGCACAGGCTCCCCGCTGCCATTCTGGTTCTGGCTGGTGAGGTTGAGGCTCTTCTTCAGATTTATCTTCCACTTTGGAGACTGTGTTTTGTTGTGGTGTAGGGGGATTAGTAGATTGACCTAAAAAATTATATAAAAAAAAATAAATGCACAAGTCAGAACAGTTTTATCTCAGCTCGTTTTCCAGGCTGTTACTCAGGGGAGCTGGTCGGCCCCATGCCAGCCGCTCCCTGTGGCCAGAGCTGGGGCTGAACTTGCCCAGAAACCTCGAGGAATAGGAGACACCCGCTCCTGGCAAAGCCAGAGGTGACTGTGGTTTTTCACACCCATGCTAGTGAGTTTATTCTGCAGATGAACGCAAAGGCAGAGCCCAGGAAGGCTGTTCCCACCCACCAATTCCTCTTATTGCTCCATGCAAACTCCCGGGAAGCTTACAGGTTGCTACTCTCACATCAACACTGCAGCACAAGGCTGTGGCCCCTGTGGGTCCCCAAAGCCAGGGAGCTGGGACAGCAGGGGCACAACACCAGGGTCCCCACAGCGTGTGGGGCCAGGCTGGGGGCTGCAGAGCAGGACGAGACTCACCTTGCTCTGCAGGCTTTTAATCTGCAGATTCTGCTTGTCCAGCTTGTATTGTTGCTGCTTGATTTTCTGCAGGAGCTCCTCAATCCGCAGGTTCTGAGCGTCCATCAGGGACTACAGGGAGAAGAGCCAGGTGAATCCCGTAGCTCCGGGAAGCACTGGCCATACCAGACTCCCGGGAGAGTGCTGCCGGTGTCCCCAGGACTCCCTCCCCTCTCCCGAGGCTGATCCCAGCCCACTGCTCCCTGTCCCGCATCGGTCTTCCCCGAGGACGCTCCCGGTGCCCCAGATCAGGTCGTGTCCGGGGCTGCCCCGCCACCAAAGCTCTTCAAGTCGGTGCAGGTGGCAGGGGCGCGTCGGGTCCGCTCCATCCCGCTCCCCTGGTCGGTGTCGGTGCCCCGGGCAGGGTGGGCGAGTATCCCCCACCCCACTCCACCCGCTCGGTGCCGGTCCGGTCCCCCCTTCTCCCCGCTCTCCCTGTGCCGGTCCGGTCCCCCATCCTCCCCGCTCTCCCTGTGCCCCGAGCGGGGCGGGTTCCCTTATCGCGCTCCCCGGTCCAGTGCCAGTGCCCACCGCTCCCGCTCCCCCGCTGGATGCCGGTGCGGGTCAGGTCCCCTCCACCCCGCTCCCCCGCTGGATGCCGGTGCGGGTCAGGTCCCCTCCACCCCGCTCCCCCGCTGGATGCCGGTGCGGGTCAGGTCCCCTCCACCCCGCTCCCCCGCTGGATGCCGGTGCGGGTCAGGTCCCCTCCACCCCGCTCCCCCGCTGGATGCCGATGCCCCCCGCGCTCACCTGCAGCGCCCCCAGGTCCCGGGCGCTCTGGTTCCCGGTCGGCCGCGCCTGCAGCGCCAGTCGGACCCGACCCTCCAGCAGCTCCAGCCGCCCCTGGATCGCGTCCTTGTCAGCAGCCACCTCCTCCAGCCGCTGCCGCAGCGCCTCGGAGAGGTTGAGCAGCTGCCGGCCGCGGCCCTCCAGCTCCCGCACGCTGCCCCGCAGCCGCTCCCCGCGCTCCTGCGCCTCCCGCGCCTGCCGCAGCAGCCGCCCCAGGGAGCTGTTGTGGGCGCTCAGCCGCCCGCCCAGCTCCCGCAGCTGCCCCTTGGTGCGCTCCACGTGCTCCTTCAGGCCGTGCCCGAGCTGCAGCAGCCCGTGTGCCAGCACGTTCACCTCGTCCCAGGAGGCGAACTGCGCCCTCCGCTCCCGCACGGGTCCCGCCGCCGCCCTCCGCTCGGCCCCAGCCCCCGGTGCGGTTCCCGGTGCGGGGGCCACGGCCAGCCCCGCCGCGCACAGCAGCAGCGCCGCCCCACCGAGCCGCATCGTGCCCGCTCCGCTGCTCTGCCCGCACCGCCGCCGCCGCCCCGCTTTTATCTCCGCCCGCGCCCCGCGGCGGGGAGGGCCCCGCACCGGCCCCTCCCCGCCCGCCCGCCCGCCCGGCACCGCCGCTTTGTTCACCCTCCCCTGCCGGCCCCGGACCCGGTTCCGCACCCGCCGCTCGCGGCAGCCCCGGCTCCGAGCCACGTCCTCTGTCAGTGGCTTGGACCCTGACACTGAGCCTTGCCCGCGCCCATCCTCATCCCTGTCCCCGCTCCCCTCCACATCCCATCCCTGTCCCCATCCCCATTCGCTTCCCCATCCCCATTCCTATCCCTGTCCCTACTCCCCTCCCTGTCCCATCCCTGTCCTCATTCCCATCCCCACCCTCTGCCTGGCCCCATCCCGCTCCTCATTCCCATTCCTGCTCCCATCCCCATCACCCTGCCCCTCTCTGTTCCTATCCCTATCCCATCCCTATTCCATCCCTGCTGACTGTCCTGCCCCTCACCCTGCACTGGAGACCCTCACCTTCCCCAAGGTTGGTCCCCCAGCCCTGTGGATGCTCCCGTGTCCCCTCCCAAGGCCGTGCCCCGCTGGCCCCGGGGCAGGAGTGCACTGTGGCACAGGGATCCAGGCCATGCCAAACGGGTGCTGAGCCCGGGGGGTGCCCGCTGTAGGCACGGCACTTCGCCAGGGGGCTCTGGCCTGGCAACGGTGCAGGGCTGCTGGGGGATGCCCCACAGGGTGCTGCCAGCCCTGGGGAGGGGGCACACTTGGGATGAGCTCCTCTGTGTACCTGAGGGCAGCAGAATGTTCACTCCTCTAAACACTCCCGGCCTCCAGGACTGACAAGGATGAATATTTCCATCCCCCACTACCTGACCCCGCCCCAGGCTTCAATCATCCTCCCGTGAAAAATGTGCATCTTATTTCTTTTGCCAATGTCTTGGACCCTGGTTTCCAGCTCTTCCTTCTCGTCCTGCCCTTCCCCTCTGGCTTAAAGGGATTTTTGAGCTTCTGTTTTTTCTCTCCATGAAGGAATTCACACACCATGATGGAGCTGCTCTCAGCTCTGTTTGGATGGAGCAGATGGAGCCTTCTGCTCCCTCCCCATGGGGCGCTTCCTCTGCCGCCCCAGCGCTCAGTCCCTGCTCTGCTCTGCGCAGCCTCGAGCTTGGATCTGCCTTCCCTCCCACACCAGCTTTTGGGCCCAAATTCCCGCTTTTCACCACTCCCTGGGTCTGGCTGATGTGACCCCCCCGGACTCCTTCACTCACCCCCCCCGAGCCCACAGCAGTTCCATCTCCATCCCACCACTGCTGCCCGGAGCCCCACGGCTCAGGCACGGCCCCAGAAAAAGCCTTTCCCTCATGTCCAGAAATGCTTGGCAGGAGGATTTACCCTTCCTGTAGTCCCCATGTCCCCTGGGGATGCAGGCAAGGTGGTGGCACAGGAGTTTCCCAAGGGTAGTGGCCATTGGGCACAGCTTCCCAACCCCACACAGCTCTTCCCTGAGGATTTTTTGCCCGGAGTCTCATTTGAGACCTGCGGCTCTGCAGAGCTGATTTCTCAGCCCAGCCTCTCCCATGGCACTCAGCCTTGCCAAAGCAATGCCATGCTCATCCAACATCCATCAGCCACACTTGCATTCCCATGTCCAAGCAGGAAACGAACATTCAGGGTTTTCCATCTTTTTTTCCTTTGTGGGGATAACCTCCCTGTTGTTGGGAGCAGAGCATCCCTGTAGTGTAGGTGTGTTTATGTACAAAGGTGTGGGAGGCTTCTGTGGGAATTAACACCTGCAGTTGCCAGGGTCCTTGTTCTCCAGAGCCATCATCTCCAAGCATTTCCCAGGCTGCTGCTGGCCAAAGGGTGAGTGAGAGGCCTCAGGACAAGCACCCAGCAACAACAGCTCAGGGTGGAGTCATGGAGGTAGGAGCTGGATAAGGAGGAATTGGGGACATTCCAGAGTCTGGAGAGCCCCAGCCCCCTCCACCACCCACTGCTTTGCATTTATTTTATGGTCAGAAGGAATTTTTCAAACGAGGAAAGAGGGGGAAAAAAAACCAGATAGGAAACACTGCACAGGAAAAAGAAACAATAAAAAATGTGAATTTCTTCTTCCAAATCTTTGTGAGTTTAGGGATTCCTCTGTGTTCCCTCTGTTCCCTCCCTGCCACTGTTGCTGGAGAGGATCTGGGAACATACAAGGGGTGGGTTTGATGGGGAGGGGGTTTCATTCTCCCCCCACCCAGGCTTCTCTGCTGGGCCTTGGGTCCCCTGGCTGGCCTGTACCCCCTCCTCCTGAAGCATGGCCACCCCCAACGTCAAATCTGCCAACATACCCACCACCCCTGAGTGCTGTAGGGGCAGCCAGAGCTCTGCTAAAAATTCCCAGATGGAGTCTGAAAAATGAGAATTCTCCTTTTTAGCTTGTGCTGCTGGTTTCTGGCATCCCAGGAGGGAGAGAGCTGGCAGGAGCCATGCCCAAAGAGCCCCAGGCTGGAGCACTCTGGACAGGGAAACACCAACCCCCAAGTCACTGGGACAAACAGGGAAGCACAGTTTCATGTGCTGCTGTGGGTCAACGACGTCATGCCAAATGAATCCTGAGCGAGCTCTGCTCCCTGCCCGCCATTACCCAACTCTGGAGCCCGTCCTGGGAAACAGGGGTTGTGCCTCCGGGTGCCGCACAGGACGTGTTCCTACTGGTTATTTTCTGCAGTGGCAGTGTTTGTGCTGAGGCAGGAGACAGGGAATGTGAGAAGCCAAAGCCTGTTGGGAAGCCACATGATTTATGAGTTTTCCTTTGGCTGTGTTTTCCTATTGGGAATTCTCAAGTTTGCCCTGAGAAATAGGAATTTTTAAGGTACACAAATGCAAAGCCCTTGGAGGCCTTGAGCTGCCTCAGGCTGGGAATGACCACAGGCCAATAGGAAGGTGCTCTCCACAGAGCCGGGTGCTCTCGAGTTTAAAAGGACCTAAACCAGCAAGGTCTGAGCTCCTGGGGCATTTCTCTGTGCCCTTCTCTGTCCTGCATGGAAAGGGCTATGGCTGAAATCCCTATGGATTTCCCAGCTTGGTTTGGGGTTGGGGAAGGGTCGAGGTTTAGTCCTGTGGCATCAGGGACCCTCTCCCCAGCACAGGTCCCCAGGAAGGACCCACAAGGACCCTGCCCCAGCTCAGTGGCCTTGGGACCCAGAGCAGCCCAAGGAGCAGCAAGACACGATGGCCCTCGGGGATGTTTCTGTGTCCCTGTGTGCTCCATGAGGGTCAGCCCCTGGCCAGGGAACAGTAGCCTCCAGAGGAAGTTATTTTCTGTGTTGGTCTCCCTGCAGGACAAGGGACACTCCCGTTCCCATCCCCCAGCCCCTATCCTTATCCCTATCACCACACCCACCTCCACCCCCATCCCCTCTTCTCCACTCCCACCAGCTCAGCCACCCGGGAAACGCAGCACACACCGCATGGAGCTCCCCCAAACAGCCCCCACACTCCTGGCAGTACATCCCCATCTCAATCCCTGTCCTCATCCCCATCCCTGTCCCTGTTCCCATTCCTGTTCCCATCCCTGTCCCAGTGTCTCATGCACATCAGGCTGTGAGCAGGTGGGCTGCAGTGGGTGTCTTTGCTCCCTGCCCTTTTCTCTACCTCACTCCTTCCCAGGCTGACCTGGCAGGTCACTGTGTGAAAGTTCAGCCTGGTCTGAACTCGCACAGATTCCTGCAGCTGCTCAGCCCGGGGCTTATGTCACCCGGAGGGATGGGAGCAATGCAGATTTACAGGAAGGTTGATCACAGCGTTGCTTTGTTGTTGGAAATGGCAAACGTCAGGGAGACTCCAGTGAGAGGGAGTAGGACATGTGTGAATTACGCCATCACCACTTCAGGGATAAATTTAGGTTCTCCAGGGGAACAGTTATTCTGATTCAGTGGAGGTCGGGAAACATCCAACAGGGATTTCCTACCGGCCCCCGTCTGAGCAGCAGCACGTCTCACCCAGACAGGCACTGGCAGCATTCCCAGATGGAGCGGGCACTCCATCCGCCTCGGTCTCTGCTCACACCTGGTCCTGGCAAGGATTTCTCCATCACACATGCTCGCCTGGCCCTGCAGCCAAACAGCCTGCTAAACCCCCCACCCCCGAGGTCACTATTCCTGCTTTTCCCAGGCACAAGCTCTGCCGGCTCAAACTGTCACTGCCCGCTCTGGAGAGGGGTCGTGCTGCTCCTGCCCCGGGCTCACACGGCAGAGCAGCCCCTGCAGCCTGATTGTACCCCAACCAAGGGACTGGGGACAGCGAGGTGGCTCAGGCTGCTGGAGCACAGCCTGCTCCTTCCCCAGGGCTGGGGACACCGCCTCACCCCTGTCAGAGACTGCCCAAAACTTCTGCTCTCGGTGCTGCTGCCTCTTGAGCAGAGGTGGAATTCCAAGCAGGGTCAGTCAGAAAGATGGAAAATTGGCCGCAGCCGTCCACCCCCAGCGAGGGGCAGCTGCATCGGGAGCTCAGCCGTGTCAGCGGGATCCATTCCCGTCCTCCTTCCTCCGGCTTTCTCTGCCAGCACGAGGCAGCCCTGGGTAAACCACCGGAGCCCGAGTGAGGCGAGAAGACATCGATACCCGGGCTGCAGTGTCTCCTGGGGACTCCGGGGGATGGGGCAGGGTCGCAACCACCTTGGGGTCCCTCTCGCCCAGGGAGGGTCCCGGGCCCCTTAGCCCGGAGCAGGAGGCCCATTTTCACACTTGAAAAGCCGACATAAAAAGGCAGCGATGCTCCCGGTCCAAGCAGCCTCCTCATTTTCCTGGCGAGCCTGGATGAACGTTATGCAAGTCTTTTATTCTTCCTGCCATCCCGGGCTCCTCAGGGAGCACCGGGGTTACTGTGCCGAAGGTCACACATGCCAGAAGGCAGGAAATAAAGGGCTTGGGGTAATGTGGGAGGCTTTGCAACCAGAGAAACCCGACCCTTATTTTTACAGTCATCTCTCGGTTTAACCAACATGC